AGGATGGGACGGGGATTTAGAGGTCCCTGTGTCCAGGGGTTTATCACCAGCCCCTGGGCTGCAGCGAGGAGCTTACGAGCACCTGAGGACAGGGTTTGGGGGTCCCTAAGGGCAGGAGTCTGTCACCAGCCGTGAGGCCACCGCGAAGGGTTTGGGGTCCTGGTGGGCAGGGCCTTGTCACCATCCCGGGGAGGGAATGGGTCCCTATGGGCAGAGGTATCAGTGGGCAGAGCTCTGGGGCCGAGGGTAATTCCTAAACCCTGCCCTCACCTCGCTGCCTCCAGCCGTGCCAGGAGCCACACTGCTCACTGTGTTTCCAAACGTGCAGCTCACCCTTACACGAGGCTTGTGCTGCTCTGCCTCCTGCACAGTGTCACCACGCAGTAATGACACCACTGCTTCGTGGCCGTGTAATTAACAACAGCAATGTCTGCCCCAGGTGAAGATGTGGAATGACATCGAGCTCCTGCTCAGCGATGACACTGGCAGTGCACAGCTCCCTGTGGGCTTGGGACAGGAATGTGGCACTGCCTTGTACCAGGTGGATACTCTGCTGCAGATCACATCTTCAGAGCAGGTACAACTCACCAACGCTGGGCTTCAATTTCTCTAGTAATTACCTGAGACTCTTTGTCACGTTTTCAAGAGTTACTACATGTAATCACCTTTGTTTCCTCAGGTGTCAGCTAACCCAGAGCTCTCTGGGTGCAGCTCCAGGGGTGGCAGCATTGTGGTTGTTGACAGATCAGTGGTTCTCCTGGACAGCACTGGGCTGTCCCTTCAGATGCACGTTCAGTTTGGTGAGTACATTCCTTGGAATCCAAAAACTGGCTTTTAAATCCCATAGGTTTGTGCAGGAAAACATAGCAGGTGTCTTATATCTCCAGCTGAGAAGGAAGAGTTATAACAAGTACCTAAGTAACAAAGTGATCTCTGCTTCTGAACACATTTCAGTATTTCTGTACAACTAGAATTCTTGCTAAAATCATTGTATATATTAACATATTAGAATGCTATAAGGAATAATTGGAATCCTTATCCTGGAAATGGGAGTAATGGATACCAAATCCACTCTGTACGACCTTTGCCATACTTCATTCTAGCAAACCACTTTGGTTTGAAGAAACCAGGTGCTCTGTATGACCTTTGCCATACTTCATTCTATCAAACCACTTTGGTTTGAAGAAACCAGGGACACTGTTGTCACAGTTCTGTGCTTCAGATATGAATGCCTGTTCATAAAACCCCAAATCTTACTATTTGACATTTTGCCATGCAACTTTCCAGATACTAATGTGGATGTAGCTGGTGTATGTCAAGAAAAGCAATTCCTTGTGGTTGGGGAGAGAAGTGGCAATATCCATTTGATTCACATTCCATCAAAGCAAATTTTGCTCACTGAGGTAATTTTTTTCTGTTTAATTTTCCTGAAATCCTTTTGCTCTCAGACTTCCTTGAGGCTTTTTTATCTTTCTTCCAAGTATCAAAATGCAAACATTGTTGTGCTTTGAACACATGTTCTAACCAAACAGATTAAAGGGACAATTTTGTCCCCACAAGTAATGAATAAGGAAAATCTGTTGAGGAATGGGATGTGTAAACTGGAATCAGTTTCTCGTGAAAGAAAAAGGTTTAAAGTTGAAACCGGTGATCAATATTTAATTTTTTTAAAAGATAAAATACAGAATAAAAATCATTATCTTGTTTCTATTTTAGATTTTGGCTGAAAAATCCTCAAGAGAAAAGACTTTCTTAAATCTCTTGATTGTAAAAGATGATGCACACACAGGTAAGAACTGGATAATGTTTTTCCCCCTTGTCTCAGTTTTTTTGCTTTTGTTGCCCTTTAATATCAAAAATTACAGAACAAAGAATACAGGAAAACATGGAGAAAATCTCATTTAATGTGTGCAAGGCAAAGTAAAATTGTATCAGATTCTTTACCTCATGAAGGATTCACCATGTCATAGAAAACAAACATTCAGACTCAGCTTTGAGGCTGTGCTGAGCACATGGAAGTGCTCAAATAAGAAAGATTCTTCCTCCATCCTCCTCTCACACTCCAGACATCAGTGGTTCTGTTGCTCTGTAACCTCCCAGCATTGTTTTCTCACAGTGTAATGGATTTAACCATAATTTGATCATGGAAAACAGAATGTGCAGCACAAAAATCATCATTTCAACCAAAACTCTAAACTTCCTCTGCTCTTTGTCGATGAGAACATTTTGGTTTAAAACACACTGATCTGTTGGTCAGATCATTTTTGGTCAGGTATTTCCCTGTCCTGTTTCTAAGTACTCTCCTTGTTTGCTCTGGAATACTGGAGCCTCAGCACTCGTTCTGTTGCAGGTGTTTATCACATGTTCATTCTCACAAGCAACGGATTCTTCTGCGTGATGTGTCTCCCACTTGGCAGGACACAGGAAGGTAAGAAAAGCCACAAGCCACTTGGGGTTTCACTGGAACAGGAAGAGCTGTTTTCCATGCAGTTTTTAATGGGAATAAGATACTGAGTTGGGATTGTCTGTGTAATATTTGGTTTTAAAAGAAAACTGATACACAATTAGTTCTGTAATAAAATTAGTTCCTGGAATTCTCTTATGTTTCCCTGAGGCTTTAGAGAGCACTGGCTGCTGTGGGGGCAGGATTTTGAGCCATAATCTTAGCTGTCCTTGGGAATTTTGTACTCAGATTTGTAATGCTCTCTAAGTATCGTTAGTAGTTAATTAATGTTCTGTAACTCAATACTGAGATCTTCTCAGAGCTATTATAGAAGTTACATATCTATACATACACACTGTAGATGCTATGGAAATAAATGCTGCCAGAGGCCCTGGCTGAAGTGTCCTTCAGCACAGTCAGATGAGGGTAAACAACTCTGTGTGATGTTCAGTGGCTTTTACTATGTTGATACATTTATTTAACACTGGTTTTTTTTTACTTCTATTTAGCAATTGAGAAGATGGAGATGATTACAGCAAAGGAAGTAAGAAACACCTGCAAACTGGTAACCTGTGTTGAGTGCAGAGTTTGTAACCAAACTGCTCTGAAATGCACTAATTATTTCCCAGGTTATCATTCCAACTCATAGTTGTGATTGTCACTTTTCCTGCACATGTAGAGATGTGCAGCTCAAGATTTTGTCGAGCGATTGTATGAACAGCTTCTTTTCTTCCCCATTCCTCTGCTCCCCCATGCTCCACCCCTCCAGCTGCAGGGGCAGATAAGGACAGCTTTCATCTCCACGGAGCAGTACCACAGCCTGGGCTGCCACAGCTTCGTGATCAGCAGCTCAGGGAGCAGAATCCATCTGGTAATCGGGGTAAGCACCAGGAATGGGTGTGGAACAGGTGCTGTGTGATCAGTGATGCTGATCTGATCTGCAGCAGAATTTATCCCAAGCTGCCTGACAAAACAATCACTTTGGAGCACTAAGACTTTGTTGCCTTTCATTTCCTTCACTGTAACTTTAAAGGTTATCACTTGTGCAGCCTTTATGTGGTTTTTCTTGTAAGGAGATAACTTGTCACTTCAGAAATTACTTTGCTGTGATGGACGAGGGGAAATGTTTCCTCCCTGGTTGCAAGAGCTTAGTATGTCACTGAGGTGATTTGCCTGTACAGGTTGGACTATCTATGGCCTCAGCCTTGAGTTCCCAGGCAAAGCCAAAGTTGGCAAGAGCCTCCAAATGCAACAAAGTCTTGCCAAAAGAACACTTTAAGGTCCAGTTCAACAGAGCCTTTAAGCATGAACTAAGTGCAGGAACTAATAACAAAGAAATAGACATATTTTAAAAGTTGTTTTGAACTAGAAACAAGTTTCTGAGTCTAGTCTTTGAAGCTGGTTGAATGCAATGTGATTTTTCTCCATAGTTTCATGCAGCTTTTATGTTCTATGAGAATGGAAAGTGAATGTTGTAACATACTGGGTTTAGAAGAGCAGAAAACTGACTGTAACAATCATTAACAAAGGCCAATCTTGAAAGGAGAAAGGAAAAAGGTTCAAGACATTAATAAAGTATTTTTCAGTGCATTAATATAGGAATGAACTTTGAGTTAGTTTTGCAGCTTTCCAAGGCAAAGATCAGTTGTAGAAACACCTGGTAAGGGCCAAGTATCTACTGTATTCTCCCATTTCACTCTGCCTTTGCTCCCAGGGTAGAGGTGACTCTGTGCTCTCCAAGTGGGAGGTGAACACAGCCACTGCTGTGGTGTCTGTGAGGAGTTTGGCTGATTCGAGTCTCATCACAGGTAAAAAAGAGGATTTTTCCTTTTGCTAGACAAGTGTAAATTCATATTTAACTGCAGAAAAGATTAATTGTCAGTTATTTCGGTGTTTTCTGTAAATGCACATGTACCAAAGGGAACACATGTAAAAGTACAGCCAAAATGTGCCCCAAATTGTTGATGACTTAAATAAATATACCACAGTTCTTTAAGCTAAACTTGTCACAGTCCTAGGAAGCTCCAGAAGGTTAAACACCCTCAGATTTCCCACCCTTGTTGTATGCTTTACTGTGGGTTTGTTTCATATACATTTCTTAAGAAAAATAATCTATTTGTCTGATTATTAATGTTTTTAGATGCAGCAAAACTTCAGGTCCTGGACAATCTGCTGTTTGTTTTGGACACTGAGGTATGTGTAGTCACTGGGTTTAGCCTTGGCTTAACAATGGTCTTGAACCAGCTTGTAAAAATCTTGAAAGTGATGGTTTTTAATGATGTTTCTATAGAAAAAAGGTGTTTATATCCACAGAGGATCATGATCTTCCTGTGCTTGTTCTTTATTCTGCTCACACTCTGGAATGTGTTACCATTCTGCTCAAATTCTATGATTAACATGTGACATCCATATCTGCTTTGTCTTTGAATCCAGAATATTTTGAGCCTGTGGGATGTTCATTCCCTTACTCTGATTTGGGATTGGCCTTCAATACACATTGAAGAATTTCTTCTAAGTACTGAGTCAGATTCTTCTCAAGTCACATGGTAAGTAAAGCACTGTAGTACTATTTTTGCCAAGTGAAGAGCTGTGCCACAAACATTTAGTTCTCTGAATTTCTTGACATTTTTCCGATCAGCACACAAAATAATTGGACTTTAGGTATCACTAGCTCTGTGTTGTGGAGAAGAAAACCTTGGTGCTTTCAGCTTTTTCTTGGTCGTTTTTCTTGGCTCTTCCTGTTGTTCCATGCCAGGTTAAAAACGTAAGAATTACATCTAACTGAAAAGCTCCAAAATGTCAGAAATTAAATGTATCACCTCTACATGCTGAAGCACTGAAACACTCCTGTGCACCACAGGATTTTTGCATGTCCATATTTCTTTGGAAAGCTAAACTTTCTAAATCTCAGCAGCAAAACCATTTCACAGTTTGAAGATAAGATTCCTGCAGCGTATGTTGCTTTCTTTCATCCCTTTCTAACTCTGCAGGCAAGGACTGGCCAACAGTAAACTGATTGTCATGACAGCACCAGACAACACACAGGTAAAGTCTCTGTGTTCTGCTCCCCAGCTGTTATACAATCACTCCCAGGGGAAAAAGGGGAGGGAAGGAGAGAGCTAAAGATTTGGAGCACAGAGAATTCTCAGGAGCTCAAAGTCCAAAGAGAAATGTGACCATCTGTGCACTGGGATATAGCACGTGAGGCCTATTGGCATGTCTTGTGGTGGAGACCAGGGCAAGCTGTTCTGATATCTGGGAATTCTTAGGCATTGTTTGGGGGTTATTTGGTTGGTTTTTAATGGGTTTAATTGTAGGCAGATAGGGGAGAGCAGCAAAATTTGCTATTGTCTTACACACCTTCACAGATTTCTCTAGAAATCTGCATTCAGCAGATGTCTGCTGCATTCAGCATCTGCCTCCAGCCACAGTCAGTGCCAGGATCAGTGTTGTCCAGCTTATCAAATGGAAACAAACCTGTCGTATCATACCTAGTAGGCCGAGAGAGGCAAGACCTAAAGCTTCATTCAGCTTCCCCAGACTGTGGAGATCTGCATTCCACAGGATAATAAATAGTGTTTTCCCTCTAGCTCCGTAAGAATTCAGCAGTGACTCTGCACACCTCACTCAGGCAGCAGCAGAAGAGAGAAAAAGAACTCTGACTGCTTGATTTTCTTCTGTCTTTTACAGATGAGAAGTCTAAAGGTTTTGGCATTGCCCACTATGGAACTGCTTTATTCCTTGGAAGTGTCTGTGGTTTCTTCCCTTGTTCAAAGTGGGATCTGCACAGTATGTTTACATGATTTTTTTTGGCTGTTTTCTGTGAAAAAATACAGTTGTCTTGATAAGCATAACTATTAGAGGGTTCTGGGTTAGTCTTGTCAGGTAATAGTCAATTTTGCTGGAAGCTGTGCAGGAGCTAGACAAGGATTAAAGGATGGAGAAAAGTATACTGTTACATAGCAAACTGAACAGTTTGAATTTAGGTCCAGGTCTGGTGCAGTATTTAATAGCACTGTCAGTTCTTGCTGCTGTTATAGCTAAAAACTGTAATATGAAGTTCTCTTACCATAGGAAAATGCTCTGGATTTATTTCAGTTTAGATGAGAGGATTTCTTTTACTGTTTGAACAGTTTCCTTATAAAGACTTGAACAAAAACAGGTCAGAAAAACTGATGAGAACTTTATGAATTAGTAATGCTGTAAAGACTGGTGGAGTGGGAACGTGCCAGGATACCAAGGCAGAAGTCTGAGCAGTGGCTCTGCCCTGGAATGCTGACAGCAAAAGCAGCAAGCTCTGGGTCTGACTGCAGCAAGATGCAAAGCTGATGATGTTACTTGCCTTATATAAAGCATCTGGCAGAGGATCACACAGGCAACAGCACAGTGGAGAAAATGATGGCTGCTAGATCCCCTGGCTTTGATCTGAGCTGCTCAAGTCGAGGTGGAAAGTGCCAAGGCACATAGTGCCTTTCTGGATGGGGCACAGAGCTCAGGTCCTGGGAGGTGGAGAGGTGGGTGCAAGATGAGCTGCTCGTGGCTTGGCTCAAAGAGGAGTGCAGCTCTGAGCTGCTTCACCCTCAGGAGGGTGTAGTGGTGGCAATTCAGCTGGGAGAGCAGAGAGCTCCACTGAGACCCTCCACAAAGTTATTGGTAGAATATTGCAGGAAATAACATGAGAAGCATTTAGAAACCCCAGCAGACATCGAGAGAGAAGCAGGAGTTTGTTTCTAGGTTAGGCCACGCTCAATGCACTCTCATGACTGATTTCCCTCTGCTGCAGGACACAATATACTTCTTGGAAGGAATTCATGAAAAACATCAGATGTAAGAGAATATTTTGTTCCTTACTAGATCATTATTGTGTTAAAACAGCAAATCACTTCCAGATAGAGTTGTTTCATAGTTGATAAACTCACATAGTTCCCTCTCTTCCTCAGGAGCCCTGAAGAACCAGTTTCTATAGTTGTGATGAGAAGTTTAACTGAAGCCTTGCCAGAAAACAGGTGCTGGTTTCTGTCAAACACTGTGGTATTGCATTTTGGTTTACCTCTGGTTTGGCACTTAACTCAAGTAGTGTCCTCTATTTTGTTTTCCCTCAGACTAAGTCGTTTGCTGCACAAACTCAGATTCACTGAAGCAGAGAATTTTGCTATTCAGTTTGGACTAGATGTTGAGGTGAGTTGTCTGTTCACGATTCATTTGGACAACTGAACTTATGAGGAAGGTTTTTGCCCTATAGTCCAACAAAAAAATATCACCAAGATTACAGACACAGTGGAATGTGACCTGTTAAAACAGCTCTCTGTACCTGAAAGCTCACTCACAGTTAGATGACTGGGGTGAACAATGTTTTATTGACAGTAACAAACACACCTTGCAAGGAGAAGCAATACAGGGGCACAGCTGGCCAAAGTAGCTGCTGCTGGATCAGGACACATCAGCACCTTTGTCCCTTTAGGCAGCAGGAAACTTTCATATAAAAAAAAAAAACCAAGCTGAAACTGTAGTTTTTCAGTTAAAAATTGTCTGCTTAAAACTTAGTGCATCAAACTGAGAACTATTTCCTTCTCTGTTGGAAGCAGCTTGTGTACAAAGTGAGAGCAAACACCATCTTGGAGAAACTGGCTTCAGTCTCAGTGGGGGGCTCTGGGCAGGAAGTCTGGTCAGATCTGGTGAATGAAGCCAAAGAAAACCTGCAGAAAATCCAGGTATGGTTTAGTTCCTACCTCTGTTCCATGGTAAATAATTCAAATTGAAGGATCTGGGAATTCATGTCAGCTGTTTCCTCGTGCACACAGGACAGCCAGTTTGTCGCGCATTACTGCATCAATGCTCCGTGGCCTCTGTATGAAACCACTCAGGAGATGCTCAACTATGCCAAAGTCAGAGTAAGGAGTTCTATTTCTATACTCTTGGGTTCCTGTTCCACACTCTGTACAACTTGAGGGGCACAAACCAGTTATTCAAAAAGCCAAGGCATTATAAATCCTCTGTTACAAATGTGAAGAAGCAGCAAAACTTGTTCCAATCTCATTCTGGCTTTTGCAAAAAAGAGCTTAGTTTTGTGCTGGCATCAGAAAGCAGGTTTAGCTGTGAGCAGGAGGCTTCTTCAGTACCTCTGAAATACTGGTTTTCAAACTAAAGCTCAAAATAGGTCACCTTTTCTGTTTGCATCATTTCAGCCTTTCCTGCCCTAGCAAACAGAACCACAGAGACACGTTGTCTGCCCTGACCCTGCACACATGCAGAAATCTGAGCTGATCAGATAGGATCAGGTTAGAGTCAACCTAACATTGGAAAATCAAGGTCTCAACATACAGAAGTACTGAGGTTTTGCTCCTGTACTAAATTCATAGCTCTGCCTGACGTGTTCTGAGCTGTCAGCCAAACCCTTTCATGTGTTTGTTTCAGATCCTGAAGAAAGATGACAGAACCTTTGCTCCATCATCTGATGGGGCCCAGGTATCCATAACGGAGGTGAGCACAAACCTGACCCTTCTCTATCATAGCAGTGTAGAGTTTTACAAACTTTTCTGTTCTTGAGCTTTAAAAGCCTAAACAAGATGATATTTCATAGCATGAAAGAGAACTGCAGTAAGGACAGGGTCAGAAATGAGCCATTCCTTCAGTCACAGAAAGGTTCAGAAACTGAAGGCAGATGTTTACTTAAAGTGTTTTTAGGTATTTAATTTTGTCCCTTGTTTAGTCCTGTTGTAAACTGGACATTCCCCATCTGCCTTCAAGGAGAATCAGTGTGAAGTGTTGCACAGCTGAAACTTTGGGTTAATGCTTTGTTAAATCAACTTACCTATATTATCAGCTGACATTCCTGACAAGTCTTTATTGTCCTCCACTTTTCCTTTTGGTGATGGTTCTCCTACCCCTTGGTACCATCACTGCCTGGTAAGGCAGAAATGGACCTGAAATCTCTTCTCTGCGTTTAGGTTTTGAGAGCTCAGGCAAGGCTGACAACGTTCTGTGGAGCTTTTGGAGTGGAGAAATTCAGGTTTGTTCCTGTCTGTTTGTTTGGATTTCAGATAAATGCAATTGTGATTGTAAGCACATACCAGGGGAGTTAAGGTTAGTTTATGAAATTTTACACCCTTCCTGCTCTGCCTGAAGTTTCCCACCCTGCACTGTGGAGAAGGGAAAACACAGAGGTTGAGTTCTCCTGTGTGCTGAGAACGTAAATTATCTGCTGCACATGCACTACCTGGAATAGATTTTTCCTTCAATACCTGTATGAAGGGCTGTGGTTTTACCCAAACACATTCTCCCACTCTTGTTGTCACTTACACAGTACTAGCTGGAAAAGATTTGAAGTTCTCCTCCCAATTCCTTTAAAACTTAGTACTAGCTGGAAAAGGTTTAAAGTTCTCCTCCCAATTCCTTTAAAACTGACATATAACACAGAGTTTCTTTTCCCCTCCCTCCTCCAGTGGTATTGCTTGGATAGAATTCCTCAACAATGAAGACATATTCAAGATCATCATTTTCCAGCTAGAGGAAGGCAATTTCTCCTGTGCACAGTACCTCTGGCTCAGGCACCAGGTGAGATGGCACAGGCACCTCTGGTACTTGTGGAGGGTGTTTAAGTCTTCTGAATCTCCCAGCCCTGCTTCACAGAGTCAGACCAAAACCAGCTCCTCAGAGAAGCAAAGGACTATGGCAGAGCCTCATCTGTTGCCACAGTGATCACCTGTTCACCTAGAGCCACAGGAGGCTGAACTTGTTACTGAGTCAAGAATAAACTGTCATTTCTGATGTCAGAATATACTTTTCCAGGTCTCAAGGATGATAATTCTGTGCTTTATTCTGTGGTGCTGATAATCCATTCACTTTCTTGCAAGCACAGTGAAATTTACTCTTCTTCCCATCAGTGGAACAGCTCTACAAAGTACCAGACAAGCATATTGCTCTATGTAGCTGCAATTGTTCTGGTTTAATATTGCAGGCAGACTTTGAAAGCAGCTTTGATGAGACAATGCTGAAGGACCTGCTCAGTGCCATCCACTTCACTGCTCCTCTGAAGGAGCTGTGTCTGTGGCTCAAAAACGTGGTGATCCCCTTCTCCAGAAGACTTGTGCCAAGTGGACAGGTAAGAATGACCTAATGCAAAATGTAACTGTCTCAGGCTAACGTTTCATGGTCAGACCTGCAGACTTCATTCTTTGCAGGTCAGGACCTTGGTCCTCTGACTCCTAACAGGATTATTTCCCTATCTCTTCTATTCTAAATGTTTCCTTCTAAAAGCAATTTCTGGTGGCAAATTGTAATTGATAGATAACACAACCTGACCTAAACTGTGCTTTTTTTCAGAGGATATTAGCCAAATGGCTAGAACAAGGTGCTAGAAACCTTGAACTAATTGACAAGGTAAGTCATGCTGCAGAAACCTTCTGTGTCCTGTGTTTCTGTGTGTAGAATTGAGTTGGCTAATTTTAATTCTTTTGGACAGGCAAATTGGCCCGAAAATGGACTGAAAATGGCAGAGATCTTCTTCACAAATAAAAGCCAAGGTGACGTGGGACCGACAGCTTTTGGCCAGTGGAGCCCTTTGGTAAGATGTGCAGCACATATGAGAATCAGCCACTAAGAGACTCTAGAACATGCTCTGTGCCAGAGCTAAAACTGCTGACAGTTAGGTCACTCTTGGTTCTGGTGAAGATTGACTTAGTTCCACGGAAAGAATGAGCCAAGTTCCAATTTTCCTGTGTGTAAAGATTGAAGAAATGTGTATGACATCCTTGTATAGTCTTATCTCCTAACATCTCCCTTCTGTCTCAGAGAAGTGATGACTGTGAAGAGATACAGAGGCTAAGGAAGCTGGTGAATGACTTACAAGAGCTGATAAGTCTGTACAGAAAACACAACTGCAGGTTGCCACTCAGTGATTTTGAAAAGGTAATTGTGCAGCCACTTCAAAAAGTGCTTTGGAGGAATGGGTTGTTCTGAGGAGGAGAAAAATGTTGTGGCATTCGATTTAAAGCCAGACAAAAGAGGAATCCTGATGGATTGGTCAGTTCAACTCCTGGGCACATCATGTTATGTGTCAATGGTGTTACTCCTTTCAACCCTGGTTTTAATGTGACAGGACACTGTGAGAAGGTGTGGCTCAAACTCCATCGTTTGCAGTTCATTGTAGGTCGTGTGCTGTGCAGCAAACATTAGCAACAGGACAATTAGGAGTGAGACTGAGCCATAAGTGGCTCTGGCAAGGTTTTATCTGAGCCAGGGGGATGTTTGCTCTGGAAATCATTCCCTTGATTTCCATGGGCTCTGGGTGTTGTTGATCAGAGATGTGAAGGATTGTGTACTGTCCTTTGGTACCTCCATGTGTGATGTTCTAACGTGGCTCTTTTCTCCCCAGGAAAATGCAACAACTATTGTGTTTCGCATGTTTGATAAAATTTTGGCCCCAGAACTTGTCCCATCCGTTCTAGAGAGGTTTATAAAACCTTACCTGTGTGAGCACAACCTGCAAAAGGATGAGCTGCTTCTGCAGTACATAAAGGTATCCCTATTTTCTTCTTTTCGAAGGCAACTATTTCAACATGGATAAGCAGAAAATAAATCTGATGACTTTTTGTGGACACTTGAATTTTAGGACTCTTTCACACTGGCTTATCCCTGGCAATGTACTTAGTTGCTCTTTCAGTCAGGAGGCATTAAGATATACAAAGGGAGAGCCAAATCCACCCCTTAATATCCAGAAACCTGTATATTTTTGTGTTTAAGATACACCTGTCCCTTCTGATTTCAAATATCCTCATGACCTTTCTCAAACCATCCAGGATTTGCTGGAACGTTGTCGGACACGATCGACTTCAGTGTTTGAAACTGCCTGGGAGGCCAAGGCAATAGCTGTGATTGGCTGCATCTCTGACACAGGTGTAAGTATGTCTTGTGAGAGAGGCATCAGGTGACTCCAACACGTCAGGTCAGGCTGAAACATCACTTTTACCTAAGCATCTGAGCCCGTTTTGACCCGAGTGCTGATGGGAAAAGAGCCTGCTGGCATCTTGCTCTGTTTCAGTCATCTCCCATGGCATGCTCTGTGAGCATTGAGCTGTAGTTCTGATGTCACCACATGGAAAACTCACCAACTTCAGTGAAACTCAAGCTCCAAGTGGCACAAATGGCTCCAAGTATTTTCTAATCCAACCTGACACATCATCCTATGATAATGAATGTCCTTAATGCAAGTGGGGATTGGGCAGGGAAATAAACCACTTGCCTAAAGGAATCAGTCACATACTTCAAGAGATTGCAAAAGAGGCTTAAAGGTAACGAAAGCTGTTTCTGTTCCTTTTTCAGCTGAAGTTTGATGCAGTTCTGCAGATCATGCATGGGGCTGTGGTTCCATGGACTGCAGCAGTGGAGCAGCTGGTGAAACAGCACTTGGAAATGAATCATGTCAAGTAAGAGCACCCACAGTCTGCACTTGGCTGGGGAAATGGTGTGTATGCACTGTGGTATGGTGATAAAATCACAGAGAATACATTAGTAATAGTCTGATTTCTCCCCAGAGTGAAGTTACTGCAGGAGAGCTACAGACTGATGGAGATGAAGAAGCTTTTGAGAGACTATGGGATAAGAGACACTAATCTTTTGACAGACAAGCAGATGATAATGGTCAGTAATCAGCATTACTCTTACATTTATCAGACAAAAATCTCTTCATTTATTGTAATGGGGTACTAGAAGCCAAACTTCTCAAAAGATCTTAGCACCTTGTAGGTCCCACTTGGTACCAAGATCTGGTTTTCTTGTCCTTTTGGGACACACACAGAGCTCACTCTGTTCTTAACCATTAGCAGATTAGCTAAGCCAAACCCAATCAGCACAGAAGTTATAAATCCTTCTGTATGGGAGAGTGAGGTGGGAAAGAAAAGAGGAAACTAAGTCATGGAAGGCTAAGTCCTCTCAAGACTCCAAATCTAATTTCTCCTGAAGTCACAATGATCAATACTCGGTGATCTCTTTAGCTGGTTTGCAGGGGATTTTTGGTCATTGTTATTTAGCAATTCCACTTGATTAGGGAGGAAACATGAGCATTCTGGAGAAGTTCTTTGCCCTCCTGTGGAGCTACTGAATGGTATCCTGTGAGTCTCTTGAATTTTCAGAGTTCCCAGGACAATTCTCTCCCCAAGCCAAATTTTTCCCCAGTTACAATTCACTCAGCTTTTCTCCAGTCTTAAACTTCTAGGTAACTTGCGTGGTTCAAGCTATACAATGACCATCATGAGGTGTATACATTAATTCCTGTGTTACCCTACACATCCCCAAACTGAAGTCCATATCTGTTCCCTTCCTGCAGAGGCTTGTGAAATACATCCTCAAACAAGACACCCCTACTTCTCTGGAGGATGCTTTGAAACTGGTGGAGGCTTACATGTTGCCCACTGTGGAAGTTTACCTTCTAAGGATGATAGACCTGATTGACAAGGAAATGGTATGGAAACACTGCAAGTCTTGGAGCTTAAAGACACTGAGGCCTCTTTACAGAACAGGGAGTTGTACTGACCCTGGAAATCTTATCCTCAGCTTGTATCTATGAGTCTATTATTTTACACCTAACTGCCCATACTTGGCCTTGGAAAGAGTTTTGTCCTTCTCTTGTGGCAGAAAAGGATGAAAGTTATGACCTACAATACACCAGAGAAGTTTGAAGTCTCTACATATTTTCACATCCTGTGCTTGGTTACCCTCCTGGCCACCCCTTGGATCCAAGCAAGGATGTACACATAACTCAGCCTGTCCACATGCAACTGCCCTTGTAGTTTGGTTGTTTCTGGTTTAATTTGGTTTGGTGTTGTCTGCTCAGGGAGAAGAGTCTCTGACTTTGTTAAAGTCCCTGAGTCCTGCACCTGCTGAAGAAGGTTGCAGAGAGATTGACTGTGTGGGGAACGTTGGTGTTGCAGAACAAAACGGAGGATGCTGCAGAGGTACCAAGTCTTGTCACACTGTAAAGTGTCCACACAAGTTATTCCAATCACTGATTACTGTTCTTACCCAGACACTTAGGCAGGGGATGTAAATGTGATGTTAATGTGACCTCTGAAGACTCTTCCAACTGGATTCTAATTCTAGATTGACTGTGTGGGGAACGTTGGTGTTGCAGAACAAAACGGAGGATGCTGCAGAGGTACCAAGTCTTGTCACACTGTAAAGTGTCCACACAAGTTATTCCAATCACTGATTACTGTTCTTACCCAGACACTTAGGCAGGGGATGTAAATGTGATGTTAATGTGACCTCTGAAGACTCTTCCAACTGGATTCTAATTCTGTGTACTTATATATATACTGTGGATCTATTTTTTGTTATTTTTAAAGGCATCTCCACCCAGTAGCATCTGAACTCAACTACTTTATAAATCCTGCTGCTCTATTATACCTCTAGCCCTGTCTGTTTTCCAGTTCTTTAGCTTCTTGGAAAATCCCTTTTTCCAACCTGTGGGTGTGGGTTGGAGCTGCAGACTTGACAGCACACATTGCTGTCTTGCAACCACAGAGGAGAATTTCTGTTACCAGTTGTTTTGGGGAGTTATTCTGGGACAGGAAAGGAAAACCAAAGAGAAAAGGGTGGGTATCTCCACACTCTGTGAGAGCTGACAGGCTGTGTGTGCTGAATACACCCCTGAAATAGTTGCTGTTTCTGTAAGGGATTAACATTTACACTAACTTCACTTGCTTTTCGCTGGTTATATCTGACACTTGACAATCATTGCTGGAGAAGATTGCACAGTACTTTAGTGGGTTGAAGCCTGAGGGTTTCTGGCAACATTTTGCCCCCAAAAAACCATTAACCTCTTCCTTTCCTGCAGCACAAAACACAAATGTCTATGACTAAGACACTGGCGGAAATCCTTAAGTTCCTGTTCAGCATCCAAAGAGGTAAAGTCCAACTTGAAGATCTTACATGTTGTTGGCAGTGGAGTCAGGAACTAACAGTTTTTTTCCCTCCCACAGATAATCCTCTGAAGAAGGATGAGTGTGAAGCAAACCTGAGGATGTTTGAAACACTTGCTGCTCTGCAGGTTGGTGTCTCAGTAGCCTCACAGCACCTTCCACTCGCTGCAGTTACTCCACTCGTGCTTGTCACAATTTACATGCAAAGATGGTTTTTGTTGGTGACTCTGGGCTGATTCTAAGGCTAATTTAGCAATTCAAATCATGCCTGGGAAGGGTCTCAATTGGTAGAACTCAGTTGTCTGTTTAAACCAATGGTTTAGATACTCTCCCAAGTCTCAATTTCCCACACTTCAGATGTTTCCTGATAGAGTACTGTAATGTTTCATTCACATCTTGGTATGGTGGGGAAACTTGGATTATTTAACACAGCATTTCAGCCTGATTTATCCTTCAGGTATTTTATTTTCCTACCTACTGCCCAGCAAAAAAACTTATTTCATCAATCAGTAATTGGCAGGAACTAGTAAAGTCAACTTTGTACTGAAAGATTTTTCTCTAATAAAGCAAGAGATAAAACCTTTTAACAAAGAAGAAGACCCTAACATTTTGGAAGGAAGTTATATGAATATAAATATTTTTGTTGCAGGAAGATTTTGGTCTCTTCCTGTCAGCTGAGGAATTCAGGAACCCTTCGGTCATGGCTGAGCTTCTGGAGAGCCACATAAGTGCTTCTGAGAGTGCCAGATCTGTGCCCAAGCCTAGGGCAGGGCAAGCAGTGAGCTGTAACCCAGCAGGAGGCAAAGCCCAGAGCCTTAGCAAGTCGAGGCTGTACAGATTGGCTGCACTGCTGCAGAAGTCTGAGCAGGAACTGGGAGAAAAACTGGCCCTGAGAGCATTAGATGCTGGAAAAGTTGAAGCTGCTGTTAAAATATGCAGGTAAAACTTTTCAAGATCATCCCTTTCAATGGGCTTCTCTGAACCAGTTCTGGTACTCTGCACAAGTAGCTGTGGAGCAAAGGAAAGGTTTTTCTGGTTGGGCTCTTCCATCTGAAAAGGAGCGTTTGGGCAACATGCTCAGAGTGTTTGTCTGCAGTATTGAATGTGGAATTAACTCATTGTCTCTGAAAATCGCCACTGATTTTTGCCACACCATTATTGCTCTGTGAAAAGATTCCCAGCAGTTTCCTAGTGGGGGATAAGCAAAGCCCTATAAATGTATTAAATGACCTGTATCAGGTAACCATTCTGAGTTGTTGGCTTGCACAGGAACTGCTGTACACTGGCTGTCACCCCTTGTCATGGGTTCTAGATGGTCCCTGCCTCGTGCTCAGGCTGTCACATAATTTAACTTATTACCACCTCCCCAAAGAGCTCAGGTGAAAATGTGAAATGTGTTCATGGTTAACATGTCCGAGGTGTTTCAGCCTCTCTCAGCTGAGCTCCAGTGCAATTTCCAGCCACAGAAGTTTAGCTGCAGTGATAGGGTGAAAAGCTAAAAGTGAGTTAAATAATTAGAACAGAATGTGGCCTTAAGTAAAGTCCTAAGATCTGTTGGGGTTTTGCTTGAACCTCCTGCTTTCCCAGGGAGTTCTACGAGACTCACTGCGACGAAGGAACGGGGAAGCTGCTGTTTGCAGCCTGCCAGAGGCTCTGCCACATGCTGGGAGCTGATGTCCCAGTGATAACTCCCAAGGATATGAACCTCCCAGCAGTGATCTATGACCTGGCTTGCCAAGCAGCCGCAGTGTGTGGTCCAGGTACTCACTGTCACCATTTATCTGTGTTCTTGTTGGGAATCCAACTTTTCCAAACATGGGAAACAAAGGGAATGTCTATATATACCACTGTAAAAATAGCTGCTGCAAAACTGTTTCCTTTTAACAGGCCATAGGAACCTTCCACTCATGCTAATGGTCTTAATGTTTGTACAGATTTATTGTTGGATTCTCTGGAACTTTGTAAATACACTTTGACTGCCAAGGAAATTCACGGACAGTGCGAAATGGGCAACTATGGATTTACAGCAAAGGTATTTTTTGTGCTGTTCACATCTTTCCCCCCCTGCCATTTCCCCTGCAATATTTCCTCGAAAAGCAACAACAGCAAATCCACAGAGCTCTGAAAGAAACATTTCCCTGAATGGGAGTTTGCTTCAGCCTAGAGAATTAACTGATCTGAGTTCTGATTTGAGCACTGCCAGACTTTAAAACGGGGCAGGGAGGGTTTGATTTCCAAAGGCACTTGTTCTGTGGTGGCATTCCCAAGAGTTCTGTAAAGCCTAAGATGATCAAACTCATGAATGGGATCTTTGTTTCTTGTTTAGGTCACACAGTGCTTTAGGCTACTTGGGCTGAACGAGCTCTTAGGGTTGGAGGGGAGTAGAGCAAAGAGCTGGGCAAAGATGTTTGTGCACAGAATGGTATTGGCTAAAAAATGATCCATGTGAAAAATAATATTTGGCCAAGAATGTTTCTTAAAGCATCCAGGAAATCAACTGAGAGCACATTTTGGCTCTAAGCTCAATAACTGCAGCATTAGAGACACAGAATCACCAAGGTTGGAGGAGACCTCTAGGATGCTCAAGTCCAACCATTAACCTGCCACTCATGGTCACTCTGAGTAGGAAATGTGTTTCTTGCTAGTGACCATGGAGCAAAAGGAGTGTATTAAAATCCGTTTTCAAATAAGATCATGTTCTGTTCCTGTGTTCCAAAACTGGAATCTTTTGCAACACTTAGGTTGTTAATAGGCCTATTAACTCTTCTTTTTTGTGTGTACTTTTGGCAATGTTCTTCCTTAGACAGCAGCTTTTGGGGCAGATAAAGATCCCTATGAAGAGTGGACTTATGATGACTTCTTCACTGAAGATAGGATAGTCCTGGATCCACAGACAGCTCTTCCAGTTGCATATGAAATCATTTCTGCTCTTCTGCCTGCTTCTGGTAAGTTTGCTTTCCTGAACATTGAGCCAAAAGAAAATCTGTTTTCAGATATATTTTTATCTAGAAATAAAGTAACTCAGTGTGTCTGTGGAAATTATCATCTCAGACATCCCAGCTAGACAAACTCAGGGAAGAAATACCAGTTGGGGTAGGGAATAGAAAGATGACTTGGGTTTTGTTCTGGGTCAGGAACACCTCAGTGACAAGTAACTGAAGATAACACTCTGGGGAAGTGTTAGTAGGACCTTGCCCTGTTCCTCTCTCTGCAGACACCTCCTGGTAGCCACTAGTGAACTTAGGATCTTGTCGATGTGAACTTCAGCCTATTCTAAAATCATCTCTCTTAGACACCAGAGCAGATACACAAGTTTGTCAAATTCCAGGTGTTATAAACACAACTCCACAAGGTTGTGGGGGCTGAGAAAGACAATTTCAGTGCTAAAAGCAGCACTGAATATCGAAGCATCATTGTTAATACTTCTTGACGTAAATGCTTCCTTTTGACTACACCAGTAACACATTAGGAAAGCTTAGAATTGCAAATTCCAACTGCAGGTTGCTAAATCCACCTGTAAAGGGCCTAAAAATAGATTTGTTGGTTTCACAGAAGAGGAGGTTGTGTTGACTCTCAAAGGGATTTACAGACAAAGCACTTGCTGAAAACTGTTGGTTTGGATTCCTTTGTGGGTTTGAAAGATATTCCCTTCTGGAAAATAACTTCTGATCAGGCACAGTCAAAAATAGCAGCAATTGGCTCTTAGTGGTCACATCTCTCTGTTCTGTGCACGTTTCTGAGGTCCTGCCAGGCCTCCTAGTGTTGCTGAGGTCCTGGCACACTGCTGATGTGTGTGTGTGTCTTTCAGAGGACAAGCTGTATCCTTGGGAGTCCACAAGCCTGGCAAACCGTGGATTCATGGAAGGTATCCCAAAATCCCACAACGGGGTGGGTTGGGTTGGAAGGGACCTTAAGGATCACCTAGTTCCAACCCCCTCCCCTGGGCAGGGACGTGGTGGCAGATCCACCACCCTGCAAGTATAAACTGGAGCACTGGAAAACATGAGGTTAAAATTAAACCTACACAAGCATAACTAACTCAGAGTGCCTAAACAGATGCCTAAATATTCCATGGACAGCCTTTTCTGGGGGTGTGGTTTGGTTCAGCACAGCCAACACCAGTCTGGGTGCTAATTTCTACCATTCCACCATGCAATTTTAAGCATGTCAAAGTCTGTACTTCAGTACAGAAGTTCTAGCACTGAGCCAGGATCATTATAGCCTATCCAAGATGACTTCTGCTCAAAAACTTGTGGTCCTGACCTAAACTGGGAGTCTGTATGAAATCAACAGCCCTAAGAATTTCAGGTTTCGAAGGGAACTAAGGCTGATCCTGTTATACATTTAATGCAGGAAACCTGCTCTGATGTGAATTGCAATAATAATATGCTTAACATAAGTCTCCTAATTGTTTCCTGGGGTCCTTGTGGCTGTGCCCCAGGCCAGGAGCTCCTGCTGGCAGCCAGATTGCCCATCTCTGCTGCCCTGCAGACCCTGCTGGAGTGCAACCAGTGCGAGCTGGCGCTGCGGCTCACCGTGTGCTCCTACGGGTCCTGCCTGCAGCACGGAGTGGCCAGCACCACGGGGCTGGCTGAGCAGGTATGCAGGGCAATGCCCAACCTCCCGACCCAGGCTTGGGGGGGTGACAACTGCCAGCAAGTTTAGAGCAGCTCTGTAAGGGCTTGGAACGTGTGGGAGAGGCTCCCGCCGTGGCCTGTATTGCCATCCCTTGGTCACACGTTCAGTCACCTCGGGAAAGGAGCTGCTGCTTTCTTCTCTCTTTCTTATGTTCCTCTACTTCTCTGTGCTCAGAAATAATCCCTGGCCTTCCTGCAGAGACTACAAGGACTGCTAATAAAGGGCCACTCTGTCCTTTCACATTGTTTTGCCATAGGTCAGCGTGGGAAAAGTTGTGAGGAGAATATTCAAGAAACTCAGTTCAAAAACACATGGGGATAGAAATTCCTTTTCTATCTAGAAGAAATCTTTGCAAGACCTTAATTAAGCCTGAAAATGCAACTCCTGTAGTACCTCCTGTTTTGCTGCAGATGAGAAGTTGAGGGCTTAGAATTCAGTTTTAACCATGTGCTGTTTTTTTGTAATAGTTCTATGATGCCAACATAGCTGCTGAAACCAAAAGCTTCCTCACTGCCATGAAACAGAAGTGCACTTCAGTGATCAGGACCACCATCCTGACCTTACTGCACAAGGTAGGAATGCCCTGGAAGGGGTGGGAGTGAGCCCTCTGCTCCTGCCCTGGCAGCCACAAAGTCATTCTGCTTGGAAGACCCTTAAGGTCACTGAGTCCAACTATTAACCTAACACTTTCAGGCCCACCACTGAGCCATGGCCCTGAGCAGCACATCTTTCAGACACCTCCTGGGAGGTGACTTGGCCACTTCTGTGGGCATTTGAGCCTCTCTGGCTCTTTGGCCCTGTACTAGCTGCTCTGCCTGAGAGGTTAGGTACAGCTGGAGCCTCATCTTTGGGGGATCCTTTGGCCTGGATGATCTGTAGATGCCCATCTCATTTTAGATCCTGGTTTCATTTCAGATTCATAGGCTTCTTCTAATGGGGAGGAGTTTTTAAAGCAGCTATGTGCAAAATCTGCAATTCAGCATCTCCTCAGGCAACTTTAGAGTAACTGGAGGTATTTACATTTTAAGTTCTAAAACCTGAAGTGCATCTTAGTCTATTTTCAGTCTCTAACTTGAGGGCCCAATACACCTCTGAATTACAGAGTACTTCTCCTGTGTTACACTTTGAAGAGACCTCCCCAAATTAATTCCCACAGTTTGTAACTGTGTTTTCCCCCCAAACAAGGTGTTCAACTGTCGTGTCATAGACCAGCACCTGGCTCTGGGCTACTGCACCATTCTGCCCAAGGATGATGTGTTCAGCAAGCTTTGGGATGTCATCAACAACACGTGGCAAAACTACAGAAAAGTCCTGGTAAATTCCCAACCAACCATGTGTTCAGTTACCTCATGGTGTCTTACTCCAAAGCTTGGAATTGTTGGTTTGTTTCAGGTCCCATCATAATTTATATCTAATTAGACTGTGGGTAAACTGTTCTCTGACAGCAACCATCAAGAGTGGGATCAATAGATCAATCTATGAGGAAATAGGGAGTGAAAGAGACATCAATTCAGGGAAAGTATGTCTAAAAAGGACTTTTGTATTAGTTTCTGCAACATGAAGAAAACAGTTTGGAGGAAGTAGATTTTGCAGTAGCTTTGAAGTGCCATCCAGGAGGTGGAGTAGTCCTGATACCTCCCTGGGGTCTGTTCTCACTTTGCACAGTCAGGTGATCATCTCTCAGTTGGTTTAAGCTCCTCTAAGGATTTAGCCCTCAGCATTCCTAATTTTCAGCCTGCTTACACTACCTGTGTTCCCCTCCCTTCTCACTCCCCTCAGGCAGTGGCTTTGGTTGGAGCACAGCTTGCTGACCAGTATGGGGAAGCAGAAGAGAAGAGAAAATTCCAAGAGCTGGTGATTGATGCAGAGTGGGGGATCCAACTTGGTAAATTTGGGGTAAGTTCCATGGATTTCTCATTTCCTTCAGGGTTTTATTAACTAATCAGTTACTTATGTCAGTATAGTCTGAGATTTATGGTGACTTTTAAGCAGATTTCCCATTGAAATGTAAGGAAAGTTTTGGGTTTCATTTTCCTTCTGCTTAAATAAACCTCAGGAACTGAAATGCAATAACTGAGGGGCTAAAAAATTACTTTTAAGTGCTGAAATATTTGGCCCAGGGCATAGTCAGCAAATGCTTCTTCCTGCTCTAGAAGGGTCTGGACTGAAACTAAACACAAAGTAAAAGCTTTACTGTGTAAGGAATTGGTCCTGATGTTGTCTAACAGACTTTTTGAGCAGGTGAATTGTCTGTCTGCAGATTTCTTTCGAGCCAGTGTTCAGACAGCCCCCAGTGAGGAAGAGGGAGCTCATCAGGATGCTGGTGCAGAACCCCGAGGTGGAGACAGGGCTCATCCTCAGTTACTGCAGGTAATGGGTCTACTAAAGCTCTGTAGCTGTTGCTCTAACAGTAACCTCAGCCACTATGACATTTTTATGTAAGAGATCCCGAGTCATGCAAATACCAATTGCTCTTTGTGTCGAGGTGTGAACCAGAATACAAAACTGCTCTTGGCTCATTGATCCCTACAGAAATAAACACCTTGATGACACCAAAGGCCAGAGGAAATAACCTTCTGTTCTCTTCTAGCACTTTCCTGCTGGACAGTGATGCTGCACTGCAGCTCTGCATTGAAACACTTCTGCTCCAGAATGCTAACACAAATCTTGTCAAAGATGACCCTGCAGAGCCCAGTGAGAAACAGCCTCACTGCACATTACTGGCCAGAGCACTGGAACTGATTCCTCTGCTGAAAAGCACCAAAGAGCTGGTCACAAACCTCACTGGGATATTGTACAAGGTAAAAAATAGAGACTGGACCAAAAAATCGACACCAAACCAAGCCAAGAGAATCCCTGGAATGTGCTTCTAGTCCCAAGTGTTGCATCTCATTTGAATAATAGATCAATCATTCCACAGAAATAGGAAGAGGTTATTTTTCCCCTCAAATATTCCTAAAGAGTGTAAATATTAAGCTTCAGTTTTTTGCTTCTCTAGGAGAAAGCACAGAGCAACACATCCAAATTTCTTTAAAGACAGATGAAGTCTTTCTTCCCCATTTCCCTTAAAGAAACCACCAGAAAAGAATTAAATGAAGAAGTAATTTCCAAGTACCACAGTACTCTGGAAAAATTCCATGTTAACAAGAGGTGGGGGGTAAAAATAGGATGTTTGGAGTTTTTTTGTTTGGTTGGAGTTTGGTTTTGGGGGTTTTTCGTGGGCTTGTTTTTTTATTTTTCATCACTTTTTGTTTGGTCTTTCTACAATATCCTGACAAATCTTTTAGGATTTAGGACTATGAAGTGGAAGTTATTTGTTTCAGATTGTTATATAACATAACAGTGGGAAAAATTCACTCATTCTGTGTTGTTAGGAGACTAATCATGTGAGAGTTCACAACGTGTCTTTGCTTTGAACAGTTGGATCCTTATGACTATGAGACTATTGAAATTGTCCTGAGAGTGATGCAAAGTGCTGATGAGAAGAACACCAGCATCCAGCTGGGCCAGGTATGTGCAGACAGCCCAGGCAGCTGCCACTCTGCCCCTGCCATGGGGCAGGACTGGAGCCCTGGGCACCTCACAGCAGTGCAGGTCAGGGGCAGAGTCTACACACATACCAAGGAGTTGCTGCCAGGACTTAGAGAAACAGAGCAGCACTGAGGCTTTTTTGCTTTTTCCTTGCTTATTGTGAATCTCCTTTGCTTTCCCCCCAGGCTCTGAGCCTCCTCAAGCATCTGGAATCTTACAAGAGAGTTTCTCCCCCTGTGGACCTGGAGCACCAGTACCTGTTAGACCATGTGCTTCCCTTACCTCCTGCTGCTCACACCAGACTGCCCTTTCACCTCATATTCTTCAGAACTGCACAGTGTTTCTGGGGCATTATATGTATGTTCAGTGTTTTCATGGATGTGTATCCCTAGCATTCCCTCTCTCTGCTCTCTGTGAACCTGAAGTGCTACAGAATATATTCACTGTAACCCTTCATGAATGCAGTTTCCCTCCCAAGCACTTCAGCTCCCAAACTGCTACTCAGTGGAGCTGAGGTGATATATACAATGCAGAATTTGTCCTCAGGACCTCTCAGAGACCAAAGTAGTCCACATATGCCACTTCCCAGACCGATGTGGGCTACTAAGATCATATTTTTCCACTCCCAACAGAGGTTTGCACTGAGAGTGCTTCAGTTCACAGAGAAAGCTGCAGGTGGACTGTGGCACTATCACAGGCAACTCTCTCTTTCCTTCCAGCTGCAGAGCTGAGTGAGGAATCCTTCCCAACACTCCTGTTGATTTCCAAACTAATGAAGGTAAAGTAAGATCCTGAAAGAATTTAGCTTCAAATTGTTCTCCTCCCTCCCCCAAAAACGAGCTTTCCTCTTTCCTTGGCCTCACTGTAGGAGTTCTGACAACCCTCAGTGTACTTTCATGCTTTGCCAGATTTCCCTGGACACCTTTTACATGTCTGCAGCTCGACTTGTCTTTGAAAAGAAACTGAAGCCCAAAATATTTGAGATGAGGAACACAGGCTACACCTCGGTGGTTAACAAGGAAACAACCAAAACTGTGCAGACAATTCAGTCCTACCTGCTGTCCATAGTCAACCCCGAGTGGGCTGTGGCTATGGCTCACAAGATTGCACAAGAATTTCCAACAGGTAAGGGGCAGATGGAATGGGGGAAGCAGTGGGAGGAAGAGAGAGCAGAGAAGAGAGGAGTTAGTCTGACCAGACACTTTCTCAGTCATATCAAGTCAAACCCAGGAAAGTTCGAGAATGAAATGCATTTGTCTCCTACATCCAATTTTGCACAATAGGTTAGAAAAAAAACACCATTACATCCTCTTTTCTCTTTTTTTTCATCCAATCACACACTGGCTTGAGCTGGAAGGGCCTGAAAGCTCACCCCATCCAAGCCCTGCCCAGCCTGGCCACATTGTCTTGCTTGAAGTTTCTGCACGTTCATACCATCTGCAGACAACTCTCCCCCAAAAGCCAATATTTCAGCCCAACCTAAGGCAGCTTCTCTCTCTTCTGTCTTCAGGCACTAGAGTTTCCCTAATATTTTCCATAGCTTCTTATAAGCCTTTTGAGATGAAATGGATATAGTGTGTATTGCAGAAAGGATTGATGACAACTTGATTTATTTACTCCTTTTCCTTCCTTTTTATCAAGGTTCTGACCACATTCAGGCATTGAAGTTCTGTCTGTATCTCGCTGAGAAGTGGCTGAAGAACACAGCAGCTATGGTGAGGGGAAGCTGCTTGCAGAACTGTGGTGCAGTCAGGGACTCAGGGCAGTGATTTGGATAGTGGTGTGTGAATGGTCCCATAGCCAACCCTGACTTGGGAAGTACTTTTTGAGTACTTTCACCTCAAAATGCCTTAATTTCAGAGTGGTACAGATTTTATTAGGCTTTTTCACAACGTACCTTTGCAGGTTTTTCCAAGGTACTTTTCCTAGCTAGTTGAGATGCTAGTTCTTGTGCTTTGGAGCAGAAGCAGCTGTTCTATGTAAACCTGTGGTGTTCTCTAAAGGATGAGTCCCGTGGAAAGGCAAAAATCCTCCAGAAGAAGTTGTATTTGCAGTACAAACGAGCAGCAACAGAAAACGTGCTGATAACACACCACCTGAACACTGGGGAGCATTTGAAGTCTCTTGGGAAACCAGCAAACCTGATCACTTTGCTGTATGAACACCCCAGCATAGACCGAAGGATCCAGAATCCAACTGGCAGAGATTATCCAGGTGAGGATCCTCAGTCTGGTTTCAAAGGAGCAAAGAGAAGCTGTTTAAAACCTGCTAAATTGGTAAATACTGTCCTCATCTCCTCCTGTAGATATCCACGTGGCAGCCAAAGAGATAGCTGAAATCAACAACGTGGATATGAGCAAAATTAGGGACAAGCTGCTGGCAAAGTGGCTGTGTCCAAGCTCAGTGCCCTCAGAGGTGAGTCGTGCCAGACACATAAAACATGCCTAGTTTTTCACTTGTTCAGACCACTCAGGTTACCTGGCAAAATTTGCCTCACCAGTGTAGTGAAGATGCCTCTGAATCCAAACTGCAATGATTTCAATCCCTTTCTGATGTCACACACTACTGTCTCTGGTGAGAAGGAGCTGAAGTGCTTTCCCTTCTCTCTGATGGAGGTTAAACTCTTACCTTGGTGCTTCCAAAAGGTGTAGCCACCCTGAGGGAGCAGAGCAGCTCTAGGTGTCTCAGCCCCACCAAACACTGCTCGGGGCCTGGGGCTGCTTACCCCAGCCCTGCTCACAGCTGGAATTTCATGTCTCTTTAAAGCCAACTCCAGAAACCCCTGGGGATGTGCAGGAAGACGAGCAGCTCCGAAGGTATGTGTTGTCTTGCATACACCGTGGGGAGTTATTTTTAGCTTGCCAGTTAAAGTGGCTTTGCCAAGAAACCTCCCAGTGTGTGATTCAGAGCTCTGCTGTGTCCTCATTTCTACCTGCTGCTGATGTCAGTCGTGGGTGATCAAATGCCTCTCTATGCCACTGCAACAACTACTGATGCAAGTGCTTAAGAGGAGCTCTTTGGAGACTCTCTCCTTGTTTTCCATGTCCTCCATCCCTGTTTGCCAGCTCATGTTTGCACCAACACACGTTGATGTGCTGTGTGTCAGGAGCTGCTCTGTACTGGCATTCAAGGCAAACCCTTTTGCAGAGTTGTGTACCTTCTCCAGTCATGCCCAATGGACTACAGTTCAAGAATGCTCTTTGCAATTACAACCTCTGCCACATCTGTAAGTTGATACTTTCCTATTTTAGCTTGATAGTTGTGGATTTCTTACCTCCCATTAAAGTACTGTCTGCTCTAACCACACGGGCCAAGGCCTAACCTGCATGACCTGAGGCCTCTGTCCCTGCCATTTGGGTGGTTTGTGGGTGGGTGAGCTCTTTCTCCTCCCTCCCCCAGCCTCTGTAGAGGTGTGAGTTGTTTCTCCTCCCTCCCCCAACCTTTGGGGTAACACTCTGGGTTTCACTGAATGTTGCCTCAAGAGCAGCCCTTGAACTCTGGGGTGTCTAAACCTGTTGATATGATCTGAAAACAACTCCATTAAGCATCTTCTGGCCTGTGCTTTAAGCTGTAAAACATTGGGTGGGATTAGCTCCCTTTGGAATTAGAGCAGAGTGTGAAATTATTTCAGCAGAACCTTAACCTCCAGGTCTGTCACTCTTATTTTTCTCGCCTGCATTAATGCTTTTAAATCTGGAAAACCACCTTTGAGAGGGTGACAAATATTCCATCTGGGTAGTATAAAAGCTGAGTGTGACCCAGGATATGGAGCACACATCTCCACTGAATGGATCCAGAATCTTGGAGAGGTCAGACTAGGTGTAGATAATCCTCTGCCAGGTTGTTCAGCCAATTTTTGTGACCCCTCACTGTGCTGTTTCCCCTCAGCCCATCGGTGTTGCTCAGGTGACCTTTGCTCACAGGTGCAGAGCACTGAAGTGTTTGCTCTGCTTGGCAGATACCAACACTGTGGAATCTCTCTTCAAGAAACCGATCGAGAAAGTCAAGTAAGATGGATTTTCCTTAAGGTCTTCCTTAATAATGACATTTTGTTGGTCTTTAGAAACCACTGGAGAAAATATCTGTGCATGAATCAAGCTTAGTTATGAGTTGAGTAACTGGTTTATCTTTGGATGATCCAAGTCATTCCAGCGAAAGAGGTTTCCCTAAGTAATTACCAGAAGGAATTTTACTTCGTTAGGATCCTAAGTATAAATCCAAGCTACGTGTTTTTCATTAAAGCAACACAAAACCACTTTCCAGTACTATCCTGAGCTTGAGAATGTGAATGAAACCATAATAATCACTGCAAATCTCATTAACTCCTGGTCCTGTTTTTTACAGGTATTTTCTCAAGTGCTGCATTTACCTGGCAGAGTTTGAAATCCTGAACATCCCATACACCTATGAATCATTTCACACGAGCCCCAAGGAAGGAATGATCAAAGGGCTGTGGAGGAATCACAGCCATGAGCCCACGGTAAGGTTTGGAAATCCTCTGCTTTGTTGGCTCAAGGTTCAGTTCACACCTTGCTGCACAGCAAGTGCTCCCTGAGCAGGTGTTGTATCCTCTGAAGGTGGCAGATAAAACAAGCTTTGCCCTTCCCACCCTGACAACAAAGTGGTATCACATACAGGTGTTTTGGGGGTTGTTTAACTCTCACATGTGTGAAATCATTTAGAAAGTGGCTGTTTGTGGGTTTCAGGACCTCAGGGTCCTAGTAATGCTCTGAAAATCTAGAATCAGCCCGAGCAGTAGAGGTTGTGTTACAGTCCTTGCTCCCTTTCAGGCTGTCAGGCTGGTGACAGAGCTCAGCCTGGAGTACAGAGTCTATGACTCCCAGCTGTGGAATGGGCTGCTGCAGAAACTCCTTGGCTTCAACAAGGTAAGGAATTCACACCCACAAAGTCCTGCAGGGAGGGGAGAAAAGGCTGTTTTGGCCACAGAGTTCTGAGGGGAGGGATAGACACAAACTGGTAACTCCCTGTCACCAGCTGCTGCTGATGTACAGGTCACTTCAGGCTGAGACCTTGAGGAACGTGTGTTTTAGCAGCACTGCTTGGGAATCTTGGTCTGAACCTGTCCCAGTTGGACCTTTTGAAAGCCTTTCAGTAAATCCTGTGGTAACAAACTGGATGTTTTCCTTATATTATTCTCCTCTCTACCATAGGGTGCACATGTTTTGTGTGCAAACACACACACAGAGGCACCAGCTGTAAATACACATGGGCCCAAATGTGCCCCTGAAATGTGTGGTGATCACCATCCTGACTGTTGTCCTGCAGAACCTCAGTCCCCTGTGGCTGTCAAGTGTTGTGGAATGTTGCTGCAGCCTAGGGAGGTGACAGATGCACCTGAAATGTGGCTGAGTGTTTCAGCCATGAAAGTCTAGAACATATTTCCATGTGTCAGAGGAACAGAGAAGAACCTTGAGGAACTGAGTGTGCAAAAGGACAAGCACAGAGCACACAGTGCAGTGCTGCATTGTGAGATTCATGCATCAATCACAAATGATTCCAAGTAATTGCAATGCAGTTACAGACATATCTAATTAATCTATGTGTATCTGTCTGATCTGTAAGATTATTGTCAGATCTTCCCAAACACTGAAATATTTTAAAATTAATTTTTGTTGCAGATTCAGTATCTCAGGAGAGTTTTGGTAGCAATTACTGGGATTCATTCTCTGTGGGAGGTAAGCAAATATCCTCTGACTTATCTTTTGCTTCACCTAACAGGAACTGAGTGTGTGAGAGGCATGAAAAGATCCTTTCAATTACTGTTTTTGACAGTGCAACGTGTCAGGAAACATTGGACAGAATAATTTTGCCATCAGCCAAAATGTGGCCAAGTCTTGGCCTGTGTGAGGCAGGGAAAGGGATGTCAGGGAGCAGTAAAAGAGGAGAATATTGAGAGGTTTCCCCTGCAGTGGGTCAGTGGTGTGGGTACAGTGCACTTAGTCAGGACTGTATGTGCTGTGACCCTAAAGCTTTGCTGCCAACAGATCCCCAACTTCAGTCGAGCCTGGAGAAGTGTCATTCTGTCACCACTGCTCACAGGTAGGTGCCCTGGGGGGTCAGGGGTTGTCATGCTCAGAGTAACTTGGTGATGCATTTGCTTCATCGTGTTTTCCTCCTTTCTTAGCTTCATGTCCCCCAAGTCCCACACAGCTGGAGGAGTGCTGCGAGGGCTTCGTGGCTCTGCTCAAGTAAGTGGAAGCTTGGCCACTGTGAGGGAACAGTGTTGTTCTGGCTTCAGAATCTCAGAGCAGTTTTGCTGAGAGTCCTAAGCCATGCAGTTGTACAGCTCATAGCTGTGACCTTCCCTGCCCATCTCCCCCTGAGGTGTCCTGTTCTGGGTGACCTGGATGTCATCGGGATAGCTAAGCAATATGCACAGTTGGACCTTCCAGCTTTTGCCCTGGGCTGCCTGATGCTGATTCCTCAGGCTGAGAAGAGAGAGCAGCAAATTCAGGTAGGCACTAAGTTTTGTGTTCTCTCTGTGCCAGGAAATGCCATTAAGCATGTTGTGTTCAGTACAGATTGTAAACCAATCCTTAGAATTCCAGTTTGCAGCTGCTCAGCATTTCCCACCATGGAGCTGCTGCTTTAAATTCTGCTGAAAGGGATGTGTGAGCACTTCATGTGACTTTGCCATTTGGGGCTGTTTTGTGGGATCCCACCCATAAAACACAGGGAAAAACCAACAAAACCCACACCACAGCAGATTGTAAGCAAAGTACTGAATCCTCCTTTGGGAGAATGTTGAGTTGAAAGCTTCTGAGTTCTTGGAGAGAACTGGATATGCTCCACAATTCTGAGGTAAACCTTTTGCCTTAAGGCCATGTGCTCTGTCCTAGGATCTTGCAGTTTCCCTTCTCATTCATTCCCATTCCTTTCTGCTCTGCACTGTTTTCCCAGATGGAGCACAATGGGCTGTTCCCATATTTGCCATGAGCAAACAGGCACCAGCAAAGCCATCTTAGACTTCAGGTCATTGCACTAACACTGTGGTTTGGGAAAACATGAATGTAAGGCACAATCTGGTGCCAAGGAGTCAAAAACTTCAACAGCCACAGCGAAAGACCTTTTTGAGAGCTCAAAGCATCACTTGAGTCCAGCCACACAGGGTCTGGGGTGGTGGCTCCATGTGTGTACCTAGAATTCCAACACGCTCT